AAGATATATATTCTTTCCTACTTCATTTCTTAGTTTGTTAAAATGGCTATAGGAAACAATTTGGAATGAATTATAGAGCAAATAAATATATGTAATGGGGTGGAGATGTAATAGTTGTAGAGCTAAAGAAGAATCAGAAAATTCAAAGCCTATGAAACGCATATAAAGGAAGCATAGCAAATGCTCCAGAAATGCTTTCGGATGAGTGAAGACTGGTGCAAGCCAGGGCCAAGGTTTTCAGAGCCTTAAGAAGGACAATTACTTGACGTGGTGGCTAAGATTGTAATCAAAGCAGTTAGAATATGGAAAGCACAGGCAGCCGTCAGCAGTATTTTAAAATCATCCAGGAGAGAGCCGTGGATATTGCGGTGGGTGGGCGTGAGTGTGGAGGGCAGTGAACGTTTACTGGTCAGCGCCATGCAGTGCGAGGGGCTGACTTCCCTGGGTCCTACCCTGCATTGGCCCTCACTGCAATCCTGCAAAGCAGCCACTATTACCATATATTTATCAATAAAAATATTTTGAAACTAAAGCTTATGCAATGAAGTAATTCTAAGTCTTAAAGGTAGCAGTGCCTGACTGAGTCAGTACTCACACGCAGGTCTACTGAGCCAATTCCAGAGCCAAGCGTTGCTAGACAGCCTCCTAGGGACATGCAGTCCCATCCTTTCAGCTGCGCCCTCTAAGTACTTTGTTCTTCCCACGCCTCTGATATTACTGGAAACTCATCACACAGTTAGTAATTCTTTCTTTCTCTGCCTTCACCTCTTCCAATAAGTGCTGCAAATTCCTCTGGGAACATCAGGTCTGATTGAATCATTGGTAAATGCTTTTAATAAAATATAGGTCTTTGGAATCTTGGAAATATTCATCTGTCTTCCCATCTGGCTTACCCTTTCCCTAATTTTTCCCTATGTTGCAGGTAAGTTTTTTTCCTGCAGTCTGCACTGCAGTGTCTAAAGAGAAGATGCAAGATTTAGGGTTTACTTTCTTTATTTTTCTTTTTTCTACCCAATAGACAAAATAAGCTTTCTTTTTTTTTTTTTTTTGAGACAGAGTCTCGCTTTGTTGCCCAGGCTAGAGTGAGTGCCGTGGCGTCCTAGCTCACAGCAACCTCAAACTCCTGGGCTCGAGTGATCCTTCTGCCTCAGCCTCCCGGGTAGCTGGGACTACAGGCATGCGCCACCATGCCCGGCTAATTTTTTTTTTTATATATATATATCAGTTGGCCAATTAATTTCTTTCTATTTATAGTAGAGACGGGGTCTCGCTCTTGCTCAGGCTGGTTTTGAACTCCTGACCTTGAGCAATCCGCCCGCCTCGGCCTCCCAAGAGCTAGGATTACAGGCGTGAGCCACAGCGCCCGGCCTAAAATAAGTTTTCTTATAGAAATAAAAAAGGCATCTGATCTAAGGAATATAAATGTGTTTCGTGTGTGTGCATGCGATATGTGTAGATTAGCGTGTGGTGTGAATTTAAAATTTAATTTATTATAAATTATTTCAGACATACAAAATATATTAAGAATAATATGATAAATGCTCACACATTTACTCCTTATCTTAAAAAATAAAATCTCTGTAGTATAGTTGAGTTCCTCTAATGTTACATTCTTCAAAAAAACTGAATAGTTTGTAACAAATCAAATAGAAATTGTAGTACGTGCTTCTACTTTATTTTTAAATTAACTTTAAAAATTCCTTTTCATTGGTAACAAAAGAGTCTATCAGCTTCTGTGATCTAATTCTGTGTTTACTTGGATAGCCATCTGTCAGCTCACATTCAAAACACCAAAACCAGAAACTACCAACTTCCCCAGCAAGCTGCCTTACCCCACGAGTATCCCCATTCTGCAGGAGGCATTGCAGTT